AGATTGAACTACTCATTGAATTCTGAATCAGAATTCCGAATTTCAAAATAACTAAATTATAATAGTCTACAATATTTATAGTTTGTAAAAATCATTTGTTTTAAGGCTGCAGTTTATATTTATTACAGCAACATTATTGGAATTTATTATTATCTGTGGAAGAAAGTTGAGGTAAGAACTATGACTAGTATTATGTACAAATATACAATACCGATATATTTGTAATAGGTGGTTACAATATAGAAATGATTTCACAAAAATTAATCATATGTTTAACATAGCCCCACAAAACATTTCTTCTTTTATAGCTTTACCACGAAATTATCTTTATAGTACGAACAGAGCCGGACTAGGAGATTGTTTGTTATAATAGGTTCAAAGTTTAATAATAATTTATTATAAACTTAATATAATAATTTTTATAATAGGTTCAAAGCATCTTCAATGTTCTTCATCGCTCTTTGTCATCCCTCCATGTTTCCGACGCGTAGGCACAGAATAATAAACAATCAGAATGTCCACTCTCAGATGCCGCCTTTGAAGTTTTTCAGAACGCGCGCCATGTTTTAGGAGGAAACACATAACACAGACATATGATGTGTGAGGTTATGTAAATGTTTATATTTATGTTTAGTTATATTATATTTATGTTATTATATTTAACAATGTTAAAATAATTGTATAGTATGTCTATGATTGCCGTAAGTCAATTAAACCGGGTTAATTTTTCTATGCACACCACATAAACAACACTGGTTCCCTCTAAAACATGGCGGAACATATGTGCGAAGGAAATGCGCGTACTTAATTTTCCATGGAGAGTGGGCATTCTGATTGTTTATTATTCTGTGGCGTAGGTGAGGATGGGCTTGATAAAAGTTCTGTTTATCACTAGTTTCGTTCTTTTTGTAACCAGGCTTGTTATTAAAAAAAATTTTAATCCATAGTAGGCTCTATTTGCCAGATATATCCGTCAGTTAATTTCTGCACTTACTGCATTATTCTGAATAATTTGTGAGCCTAGGTATATAAACTTTCTTACTCCTTCGAAAGTATACAGGGTGATTGATTTAGTAGATCTGTTATAGTAAAAATTACAAAAAAAAATTATTGACAAAAATTGTAGGCAGCTTTAAACTCCATATTTTAAAATTAGTTACAATCTTACAGGGTGTTCCATAAGATGGTGGTAGACCAAACTTATGTTTTTTTAAACGGAACACCCTGTATTTTATTTTAAATTTGAAATCTGCTTCACTTCCACATCACAACAATGTAAAGTTTTATTATGTTATAGCGGGTATTTAAAAAGTTATAACCAATATTAACTGAAAATCATATCAAGTTTAATTCCCTGTATAATTAAAAAGGAGTATAGTATATAATTAAATTGATCTATTGCAACCATAGTTTTTTAATAATTGTTAAAAAATATAGTACTTCAAATTTTATGAAGTACTCCCTATACCTAAAGTTATCAGTTTTCTAGATATTTTTATTTTTCCATCAAAGTATTAATTTGGTAGATATTGTAACGTTTACCAATAATTATTGTGAGTTGGCCATGATTGATTTGTCAGAAATTGACAGTTTGACATTATTGTTTATTAATTCAGTATTGGAGTACACCGTAAATTAGCAACAATTATTATTTAGTAATTCAGTAATTAATTGAATTTAAATTAGCAATAATGAATTTTACTACTGATGAAATAGTAGATATCATCTGGATATTGGGGGAATGCAATAAAAATTCATTACTATCAACTAGAATTTATCAAGAACGCTTTCCAGATAGGCGGCAACCTAGACAAGATACATTTGAAAAATTAAAAGATCGATTTAACTTCATAATTCACTAGTTCAGTGAATTATGAAAAACATGAACGAACAAAAACTAGTGTGACAGAGGAAAACGAAATGAGTGTGTTGATGGCAGTTACAGAAAACCCACACACAAGTATAAGGTGTATCTCCAATGAACAAGAACTTAGTTACTGCTCTGTTCAAAACATTCTATCTAAAAACAAGATGTACCCTTATCATATTCAAAAGCACCAAGAATTTAATGATGATTTTCAGAAACGAATAGTATTTTGTGAATGGGCCTTAGAAAAAATTAATGAGCAGAGAAATTTTTTTGATTATGTCCTATTTGGTGATGTAGCTACATTCCATCGAAACGGTTCTGTTACTAGGTATAACTTTCACTACTATTCAACAAGTAATCCATACCACATAGTAACACATAGTCAAACAAGATGGTCTCTAAAGTTATCGTCGGTAACCATGTAGTAGGACCATATTTTTTTGAAGATAATTTAAATGGTGAGATTTATTTAGATTTTATCGTAAATCAGTTACCGATTTTATTAGAAGAGGTTCTACTTAATATACGTGAAAAAATGTGGTTTCTACATGACGGTGCTCCTGCGCACCACAACGAATTAGTATGTGATGAACTTAATGATCAGTTTGGTGAAAGATGGATCGGAAGGGATAGACTGGTAAGGTGACCCCCAAGGTAACCAGAACTCAATAAAATGGACTTATTTTTTTGGGGTTACGTTAAGAACGAAGTATATAAAATACCTCCAACAACAAGGGATGATATGAAAAATAGAATCCGAATTGCATTTCAAAATATTTCTTTACAAATCGTTAGTAATGTAAGCAACTCTTTCAATGACCGCTTTTAAGTATGTATAGATGTTTTGGGACGTTATTTTGAACAAATTATTTAAGTAAGATAAGTTAAAATTACTGTTGTTTTTTCATTTTTCTATGTGTTGTTATAATTTTTTTAATTTTCCGTCGATTATTTTTTATAAATTGTATTTGAAATAAATTGTTTTCTTTTCTGTGTTGTTATTTCGTTACTGAATTAATAAACAATAATGTCAAACTTTCAGTTTCTGACAAATCAATCATGGCCAACTCACAATAATTATTGGTAAACCTTAAAATATCTACCAAATTAATACTTTGATGGAAAAATAAAAATATCTAACTGATAACTTTAGGTATAGGGAGTACTTCATAAAATTTGAAGTACGATATTATTACTTTTCGATAGTGATATAAAATACAGGGTGTTCTATTTAAAATTACCAATAAAATAATGTACTTGCATTTTGACTTACCCTGTATTTGATTTAACCAATATTATGAAAACGAATATGTTTTAAAATTTTTAACAATTATTAAAAAACTATGGTTGCAATAGATCAATGTTCCTATACCTCTTTTTAATTATACAGGGAGTTAAACTTGATACAACTTTCAGTAATACTGGATATAACTTTTTAAATACTCGGTATAACATAATAAATCTTTACATTGTTGTGATTTGGAAGTGAAGCAGATTTCAAATTTAAAATAAAATACAGGGTGTTCCATTTAAAAAAATATAAGTTTGGTCTGCCACCATCTTATGGAACACCCTGTAAAATTGTAACTAATTTAAAATGTGAAGTTTAAAGCTGCCTACAATTTTTGTCAATAACTTTTTTTTGTAATTTTTACTATAACAGATCTACTGAGCTTCCTCACACTAATCAATCACCCTGTATGTTCCGATCGTTAGATCTTCGGGTTGTGCTTCTTGTATATATTTTGATACTTTTATATACGTCGTCTTACTAGTGTTAACCTCTAGTTCCATTCTTTTTGTTGCTGCTTCAAGCGCCTTAAATGATTCGACCACATCTGCCTTTTTTCTTGCAATAATTGCAAGGCGTACGCTAGTGATTGAATGCTGCAATTAATAATAGTTCCTCTGGTTGTTATTCCAGATTCTCTTATCGCTTTCTCTAATGCAATATTGAATAGAAGGCATGATAGTCTCCTTGTCTAAGTCCTATCTGAGACTGAAACGTTCTGGAAACTGCGTTCTGCATTTTAGCTTTACACTCGATTCTTGAAAGGGTCGCTTTCACCAATTTTACTAAGTGTATTGGTATACTGAATTCTATCATGGCCTTGTACAGTGCGTTTCTTTCAACACTATCATAGGCACATCTAAAATCAACAAGCAGGTGATGAGTATCAATGCCAAACTCATATGTTTTTCCAAAGCTTACCTTAGAAGGAATATTTAATCGGTTGTTGATCTTTCTTTACGAAACCCACCCTGAGATTTACATATTATGTCTTCACAATACCCCGAGAGTCGGTCGGAAAGAATATATTCCAATATTTTGTATGTTACATTTAGGAAGGTTATTCCTCTGTAGTTGTCACATATTGTTAAATCTCTTTTCTTGTGGATAGGTACAATTATACCTACATTCCAGTCTTCTGGCAACTTTATTTGCCTTCAGATCAGTTCTACCAGTCTACATATACAGTATGTCAGGTTTTTTTGCCATGCTTTAAAAGTTCTGAAGGAATGCCATCTGTCTCAGGAGTTTTGTTTTCTTTCAATTTCTGTATAGTTTGGATGACTTCTACCTCTGTTGGGATATCTTGCTCTCTTTCATCATCAATGTCCTTGAGTTGAATTTCTGATTCGTGGAGCCCTGTCTCACCTCTTATATTTAGCCTTTCCTCAAAGTCTTCTGCCCAGCTTTCTAGTATCTGGTCCTAATCACCATTGATCTTCCCTGTTCAATTTCTAACAATTGATAATCTAGGTTTGAATTCTTTCCTGTTCTGGTTAATCATTTTGTAGAACTTTTGCGTTTCTGCTTGTGCCTTATAGTACTCTAGTTCTTTTAGTTGACTCTCTATATGCTCTTTCTTCTTTTTTTTAAGTATTTGTTTTCTTCTCGTCTCACCTGCCAGAATGTTATTCACTTATATTAAAACAATAAGAAGAATCTAAATTCAAACATTAGAACAACATGGTCATAGTTTAATCATTTTAAGAGTGACATTCAACTATATAGCATGCAATTACATAATACAAAAAGCAATTTCTTTCAAAGTTTGACAAATCACTGTTCAAATTCATCTCTCATGTCTAATTCACGTGCATTTTATATCAAAAAAATACTAACCTGGTTGCATTATCTAAAGTAGTATACTTCACAGTTGCTGTTCCATCAATGGACTTCACATTAAATATTTTCCCACCACAATTTTCCACTATAACTTTTAATCTGTTCCTAATCCTTAGATGTTCCACATGTTTAGGTAAATTGGTAACAGTTACATACACAGGACCTGGACTGAAAAACTAAAAAAAGAAACATATCTAAAAATTGTCTGGGGGGAGGAACAATTTATAATTGTATATGTATAGAGGGTGGAAATGTAGAAAAAAACTAAAAGAAAAACAAAAAGTGCTTACCTTTGTTGTACAAGCTGGTATATCTTTCATCAATTGACAAAATAAATGATGCTCATTTGCACACAATATTAGAGCATCTGCTATATTAACATTATGTACTAAAATAACCCTGATTTTCCTTCTATACCTCAAGTCAGCAAGATCTGCTGCAAAATTTATATCACTAGAAATTAAAAGAACTGCAGAAGGTGGTGGATGTAGCTCCCCAAACCTTCGCAGTGATTGCCTTAACTTTTCATCAGCAGCATTCTTCGAAATTGAGGATACATGCACTAACATCACCTAAAAGTAAAGAAAATGTAACATCTTGCATACCAAATTCATGCATATCTATTCATATTTTATTGCCATTAATATTTAGCCTAGATGAAATGAATTTTATTCTACTTTAGAAGACAAAATTGACATGTTTAATGAACTGAACAAGAAATGTTTGAATATAGGTGATATTAATGTGACTATCTATCATGTACCAAACCAAAAAATGATAAAATGATCATGAAGAGCTTCTAAATGTTAAAATTTTTTTCTAGTAAATCAAAGCATACCTACTAGAGTCACAAGTAATACAAAAACACATATAGGCTATACAATCAACAATACTAAATCAAAATTACTACATCATTAAGTGTGAGTTACTTTAATGACTGGACAAAATCTGTCATGATCACAACATTTTATGTGATAAAATAATTAGAACCTTTCAAAGAAAGTTAAACTACAAAATCATTTTCGAAAAAATAGTGCCTCCTGGTTTAATGTTGACATACTAAAATGAGTACAAGAAAGAAACTATCACTTAAGATGTACTCCAATAGTAACTATTTACTTCAACTTTATATAACATCTCAGAAAACACTGAAAGAAAACATTAAACAGAGAAAAAGAGAATTTTATCAAATGGAGATAACAGCAGCTGAAAATTATCCCAAACAAATTTGGTTGGAGGATACTAAACACCATAATACATAATAAGAAGCTAACAAAAAAATCAACAACTATTTCCAAACTTATAGGCAATTTAGTTATTGATGATCCTAACATCATTTCTAATAAGCTAATAACTACTTTGCTACAGTTGGTTCAGAACTTGCTTAGGCCATTCAACCCTATGGATAAGTTCCACCAGGACTGTGTGTGGACTAAACACTTATCAGTTGATACTATTATAGGGTTCAAGAGTGACATATCAACTATTTTAAGTACTCTAGTAAATTTAACATTCACTACAGGAAGTCTTAGCAATGCCCTAAAAATGGCAAGTTGTGGTGGTGGCTCCTCAATGTCTAGTAATTATCAATCCATTTCACTTTTACCGGCCTTATCCAAGACTCTGGAAACATGTGTAAATAATAGAATCATGCACCATTTAGACAATGAAAATTTCTTATATAAAGGTCAATATGGATTTAGACAGGGTAGCAGCACAACAGCAACAGCTGATCTTATAACAAATATTTTTGATAAAATTGATAAAGGCCAATCTTGTACATTTGCATCGCTTGACTTGCAGAAAACTTTTGATACAGTTGATCACATGCTATTATTATCTGTATAGGAAACTTTACATAAAAGGAATAGTATTGAAGTGGTTTAATGATTACCTATCAAGAAGAACACAACTTACCTTTGTTAACAGGGTAAATAGTAAATTGTCCAATATTGAGTGTGGAGTTCCTCAAGGGTCAATACTTGGTCCAACGCTGTTCCTTATTTATGTTAATTCAATGTCAACATTGCCATTAAGAGGTAAACTACACATATATGTAGATGATACCTGCATTTTATACTTTGGCGAAAACCCCAATGAGGCAAAAAATAATATTGAATTTGACTTACAGATGGTGAAGGGATTTTTATATCATTATTAGCTTACCCTTAATAAAGATAAATCAAGTTATATGGTGATAACAAAGAGAGAAGAATGGAAACAATTAACGATAGTACTTGAATTAAGGCCTTTACAAAAAGTGGAATGTATTAAATATTTTTACTGTACATTGAACATAGCCTTACTTCTTTATTAAGAAATAGATTCCACTTTAGAGCTACAGCTTAGGACAACAAAGCATTGTGGTAGAAGGAATAAAGTACTACAACCTTATCCCCGACATAGTGAAGGCAATGAACATCATTGCCTTCAAACAAAAATTAAAAAATCTAATTACAAGAACCATTTTCTAACCCCCTTGCACTGACATTTTTTACATTTGTTTTTTGTTTTGTTTCCTTTTTGTATAAATAGGTTGAAGTCTTCTTTATGTTAAATATCAATAATGATAATATCTGTACCCCATATACAAATTGTTTGCACAATTGAACCTCATCTTCTTATTCAAAACTTTTAATATGTTAAAGTAATTATATTAGTGTTTATTTTATATATTTTTTCTAATTTGACCCACATAGAGTTCGCTCAGGGTCTGTAATTGTATATTTAGAATTTTTTATAAGTGACATTTGTATTTTTATGGAATAAATAAATAAAATAAATAGATGAGAAGAAATTTAAAGTTAGTTTGTAACTTTGCTTTGGGTGGAAAATTGTTAAATGAATTGCTGTTTGTTAAATATAAATAAGTACACAAGCTGTTAATAACTTTGATTTGCATCCAAAAGTTAATACAGGGCTAATATTGATTTGAATGCATTTATTTTCGTTTTTCTTGAAATTTCTCTTTTACTTATAAATTTGGTACTCATTGCATAAGTGGATGAGGTTTAGAGTTTTTTGTATCCCATGGTTGATCTCTATATCCTATTTTCCATTTTCTTCAATCTCCACTCCTAGATATTGATACTCTCTTATTTGTTCTATTTCTAGCCATTTGAATTTTACATCTAATTTCTCCCATACCATAAGGTAAGTTTTTCTATAATTGTTTATTGTTCTCTGCTAGAATAACTGAAAATGCTTCTGATTGTCTTTTTTGACTGACTAAATAATTGTGACTGTTTATATTTGTTCTTTATTATTCTTATCATTTCATTATTTTCTCCTTTTTTCTTCAATATTGTCCATAACTTTGCTCTTGGGACTTACCAAGAGCCTTAATAAAACCTATAAATGCTATGTGCATATTTTTTTCTTTGTGTTTAACTGTAAATATATGATATTGTGCCCTTCTTCCTTTTTGAAACCTACTTTGCAATTCCTCTGTTTTCAATTTTTAGCATTATCTGTTTGTCCAGTATCTTTTCATATATTTCACTGTAATGCTTAGAAGTGTAATCCCTGTGTAATTTTTGCAGTCTTTTTTGTCACTCTTTTTACAAATAGGTGCTATAAATGCTATCTGCCAATCCTTTGGAACCTACTTTTCATTCCAAGCTGTGTTACATATTTTTCTTGGTATTTTTGTTGCTTTTTCTCCCATTTTTTATTATTTCTGCTGTTAATTTCTCAATACCTGGTGCTTTTTAACTCTCTGATTTGCTTCCTTTAAACCTCTATGGTACTATGGTTATGTTTTTTATAATTGTCTTTTATTATTTCTTCCATTTTATATAACCCTTCTTGTCCTCTATTAGTATTCAACATATTTTGAAAATATTCGCTGCATCTCTTTATTCTGTTTTATTTCTTCATTATACCAGGCTTTTGGTTTCTTATTATTTTTCTTGCTGATCTTGTACATTTTTAGCTGTAGATAATATGATAATTTCCTTGTAAACTTTCATAACAGCTTTAAATTATCATCATCTGTTCTTTAATATAATCTGTCTCACACTTCTAGGAAATGTCCTAGACACTAAGAGATGTCCTTATTGTGTTAGTCTGTGAGACTTTAAAGTGTCATATTAAAATACATTTTCAGATTTTTTGTTTGTATTTGATACAAACCTTCATTGATATTCATTATAATTTTTAAACATATTGTTCAACTGAACTATTTTTTTGCAACTATATACATAGATATCTAATAAAAATATGTTTTGTTCTTTATCACCTGATTACTAATCAGTGAGTATAGCAATTTTTTCTTTATCAACTTATCTGACTCACCAATAAACTATGCCACTACAAGAATAATAATTTTACTTTACTTACTTGTGCATCATGCAATTCCTGTACAATCTGAGGACTTTCTTTCTTAACATCACAGACAACTACAAATTCAGACTCTCTATAATTCTGCAAAAATACTTCTCTTATTTTTTGCACGGCAGCTGTTGCACTTTTATGTTTAGGTACCTGGCAATTTTCAATGTCCCAGTATATACCCAAAGGGGGTAAATGTCGGGTTGAGGCTTTATGTCTCTTTTTGGATATGTTATAGCTTCTGTTGAATCTAATGCCATCGCTGGTAGATTGGGAACTGTCTGAATACGAAGAGTTTAACGAATTGTTTGCACTTTTTGAAATCCTAGGAGGTGCTGGAAACTTAAATTTAGGCACAGCTCCATTATTATCAGAAAAACTGCAGTTTCTACCAGAACAGTCTCCACTAGAATCTTGATCTATGCCAGTGTAACTCATGCTTCCAAAATTTACATTATGATCTGATTTTTTACAAAAATAAAGATATTTTTCTACTGCCACTACATTATTTCAAAAATATGTTTTCGATCTGCACTCTGCACTTGTTTTCACACTTGATAGATGAACAATGTTGCCTATTTTATCTCAAAATATGTAAAGATTTGGTTCTATAATAAAGTGTAACAGTTATAACTAGATCGAAAAAAGTTATAATCGGCAATTTTGTTCTCTAAAAGTTCTATGTTTATTATAAATATATCAAGATAAATAGTTTTTTAACTGACTTTATTCTAAAATCAAAGAAAAATGGAAAATTATAATTGCCAAACTCTACATTGTGGCAATGCTGCAGATATCCTTGTCAGAGATTTTAAACTATTATTTTCAGACAAAATCTTTAGACATATTGAGAAAAATTAAATTAAATTTATAAAACTTACCCCAGCTAATTTTATTATTTAAAAGATAAATATTTTTGTATTCATGAGTAACTGAATAAGTAATGAAACTAGTACTTATCTTCAAAAGAAGAGAAAAGACTTTTGTCTTTTGTTTCACAAGTTCTTCCCACAGAACTCAAGATTTTCCTTACTTTGGTTTTTTTGTATGTATGTTGCAATAAATTATTATAAATTATAATTTTCATGTAAGTTTTTTGTATATTTTTACTCAATGACCACAGAATAAATAACAATTGCTATTTATTCTGTGATATGACTTATATTATTACCATTTTTAATTCATTATATTTTTTATATTTGTTTAAAATCTGAAAACATATATAATATTGCAAGAATATATCGCTACCCCAGTTCAAAACAGAAACAACTCAAAATTTTGTTGAAATGAGTTATTTCCGTAAAATTTATGCTAGGATGATAATCTACCTATTTCAAAAGAGAAATAAATCATACATTCATATGCATTCCTTAAAAAGTGTCTATTTCCTTTTTGATTTTATAATCTTTTTTAACAATGTCGGTTCAAAACAGAAATAACGTAGTTGTTTCTGTTTTGAACTGAATGTCACGCGCTGTCTGACATCTGTTAGGAAATAAGTTAAATTATTTCAGTTTTGAACCAGCCTGTGTCACGTTTCTTTTAGGTTATGTCAGTTTGAAAGTAATTGTTAACCTTTATGTTTTTAATTATTTAGAACAATATTAGTTCCGTTATTTTGTGTATTTTCGTAAGTTTTATAAGTATTACAATGTTGCCTATAGGTAGAGGTAAAAGAATGGCATTATTGGCAGTTGGCGAACTAAATAGTAGTGATGAAAATGAACCATTAAACCAAATAGTGGATGAAGTAACTTTTCAGAAAGAGGTAAGCCGGTTAGCTGTAGTAAACTAGTAGCATTCTGTTTTGATAATAGGTACATAAAAAGTTTTTCAAATTGTTTTAGGGTACTACTAAAAACCTTAATACGGATAATATAGTAGTAGAAATTAACGTTGATGGTAATGTTGGATATAATGACCAAAGTAATAATAGCAGTGGCTATCCATCCGTTCTCCTTGCAATACCTGAATTTCCATCGAGAGAAATATTTGTACACGACCAAGTAAGGAATTTGTTCTAAAAAGCGTTAAAAAACATATTCATTATTACATTAACTTTTTTTAGGTACAAAATTGCAATATTATTAAAGAGATAAATGGTAGTGTTACTGTGGAATTAGATAGTAATGAAAATGCGCTTGATTTGTTGATAAACACTCAGGAACCAGCTGCAATTTTTGAAGAAAATATTAATGAAGACTCTGCTGACAAAAGCCAAGAGAAAACCTATTTAAACTTATCAACTTTCTACCCGGTAAGCAAAAAAAAATTAATTGAATATTTTAGTATAATTTAGCTTTTTTATTATTATTTTAGAGAGAAAATGACGATGAGGAAATAAATTCTAGTGTTGGTGATGAAAGCAAAGATAAAGATTATATTGTACCCGACACTTATGGAGCAAATACCAGTTCTAGTGACAATGAAGCTGAGAACTATCACGAAAAAGTTGCTGAAACAGAAGAAATGGTTGAAGAAACTGAACTGAGTGAGAAAATTCTCACAAAAAAAAGATCTAGAAATCCAGACAATTGGGAGAAGAATGTGTTAAAGAAAAAAAGAAATCTAGGAAAAAGTTTCACAACAAAAAAAGGTAAAATAATTGCAGCAAGAAGTGTTCAATCAGCTTGTGGGCCCAAATGCAGATTCAAATGCAGCGAAAAAATTAATAACGAAATACGTCAAGAAATACACAACAGTTTTTGGAAAATGGGCAATATTAATGACCAAAGAGAGTTTATTTTAAGGCACATGTCTGAGTTAAAAACAAAATACCAAAAAAAGCTGCCTGAACGAAAAAGGTCATACAATTTCGTTTATACATTTTCTATCAATGGAAATAAAATCGTAGTTTGTAAGACATTTTTTATGGGTACACTAAACGTTAGTTCAAAAATGATTTTTACCGTTACGAAAAAAAAATCTCAGGATGGATTTCTGGAAAAGGATAAACGTGGCAAACATGGACACATGGGAAGGGCTATTAATCCACAGATAAAAGCCGACATACGTGAACACATAAACTCATTTCCCTTAATAGAATCACATTTCTGTCGTTCAAGAACTGCCAAAAAATATATCGATGGAAGTCTTAACCTGTCCACTATGTACAGATTATATAAAGAACAATGTGAAATACTACAAAAACCTTATGGAAAGTATAACATGTACTCCACAATTTTTTCTACAGAATTCAATATAAGTTTTTTTCAACCAAAAAAGGACCAATGTGCCCTATGTCATAGCTTTAATACCGCTACGGGAGAAGAGAAAGAAAATTTAAAAATGAACTACGAAAATCATCAATTAGAAAAAGAGGCAAGTAGAAAAGAAAAAGCTGAAGATGTGTCAAAAGCTGTTTCCTCGACTGATCAAATAGTTGCGGTTTATGACTTACAGTCTGTATTAAGTGTACCTTGTGGAGAGGTTTCACATTTTTTTTATAAAAGTCGTTTATCTTGTTATAACCTCACCGTGTATGACATTGGACAAAAAAAGGGTTTCTGCTATTTTTGGAACCAGACCATTGCTCAACGAGGTGCAAATGAAATAGGAAGTTGTGTATATTATTTTCTAAAAGAGCAAAATGAGAACCAGGTAAAAGATATTACTTTTTACAGTGATAATTGCAGTGGGCAAAATAAAAATAAATTTATTATTGCAATGTACATGTACTGTGTGCAGTCTATGACAAAAATTGAATCCATTACACACAAATTTTTAATAGCTGGGCATACCCAAAACGAAGGGGACAATATGCATTCCTTAATAGAAAGGGAGAAAAAAAGAAAGCTTAAGGCCAGCCCGATTTATGTGCCTGCTCAATGGAGTACTATAATAGAATTAGCCAAAAAGACCGGCCATCCTTATAAAATTAAAGACATGACGACTGAGGAATTTCTGGACCTAAAAAAACTGACATCCTCTTTGGGAAACAATTATAATATAAACGAACAACTAGAAAAAGTTCTGTGGACTGACATTAAAATTGTTATGGTCAAAAAAAATAACCCTTATATTCTTTTTTACAAGACATCTTATTCTGATGCTGAATACAAATCAATCAATATAAAATTTAAGTCTCCAAGAAATAAATCAGTACCTAGTTTATCTCAACTTTATACCGGACCTATTCTTATTCCATCTAACCTTAAGAAAGGATTACTAGAACTTTGTGAGCTCAAAGCTATTCCTAAGGTACACTGGGATTTCTACAGAAATTTGTTGGAGCAGGAAAATACAAAAAAACACAAAAAAAATATTCCACCAAATAATGATAGTGATTGTGACGAGTGTGAAAAAGTGAAAGATATCTAGTATTTAATTTTAATTATGTTTAAAATTGGAATAAAATGTTTAAGTTATACTATTTTTTATTTCCTAGTTTAGAAACAACATCAATTTTTTTCCATTTTTTATTTCAAAACAGAACTAACATGAAATTTAAAAGATTTGTTTTTTTTTCTTTTAATTAGGTAGAAAGGAAATAAAAAACACACTTATGATGTAACCATCTACTAAAACCACATTAGAATTGCAAAAAATACTAGTCTTCAAATAATTGGTTATCTCAATAAAACGTGGTCGTAGCTGAGCGATTTTAGTTATTAGCCATTTTCTCAAAAGTAGTTATTTTAAATTGTTTCCGTTTTGAACTTGGGTAACGATATATTGTCTATTCGCTTAGCTAGGGCATATTTTGACAGACTCATTGTAGGAAACCTACAACACAACAATTCCTACTTCTCAGTATAAATAGCTCAAGTATACTACTATTGCAGACCTCTTTCTTTGAAAAAAAGAAGAATTATTCTAAATAGTTGAAGTGTATACTAAACCCATCAAATTTTCCCTGTATATTTAAAATATAATATTTGAATTGTTACAATTTAAAATGTTGTAGTATATATTTGTATTATTCGCGTTGTTTATTTAATTTAATATTGTTTTATTATCTTTGTTTAATTCTTTTGTTAGTTCTATTCAGTTAATTAGTTAGTTATATTTTAAATTTTATTATTATGGATAGTCAAAGTTTTCCATTTGTTCCATCAGCTAATGCGTTGGTAAGTTTTTCTTAAATAAATATGATAAAATGTTTTTTAAAAAAATTTTTTTAAAGTTAATATTTTTAGATTAGTAAGGATGCTGTTCCTAGATTACAAGGTAATAAAACTGCACAAAGGTTTATTTAAGATGCCTACCATGTTTTTTACCGAATGAAAACCCTGTTGAGGTAAGTTGATCATTAAAATGTATTTATCGAATTATGTAAATGTTGTAAATACATAAGGAACTTGCTGTGTCTTATTCTTATTTAACCTCACTTTGACTTCTTAATTTTGTAGAATTTCTTCCCACTTTTTTTATTTTGTACAATAAATAATTTTATTATTTGTTATCAATACATTATACGGTGTAAATAAATAAATATTGATTGTCGGCAAAGTTCTATTTTATTTACTTTTGTTTACATTAATATTGACTAAGAGCACGTATGCTTGGTTGTATAGTATTTTCCAGCCACCTCGAGTCTGTCAAAAAGTTACTAACTTCGAAAAAAAATAATTACTAAAATCACTAGACAGTTCGGACTGGGAATAGCGAACCGGGTATAATAACTTTATAGCAAAATCACATAAATATCCAAAGGTAATAGTTATTCATAAATAAAGTAATTAGAGTGTAATCTTTAAATTAATTTTAAATTTTTAGTTTTTTAATCATATATACATGAATTAGGTTCCCAATATTAAATGGTAATATGAAAAAGCAACTAACATTTATTACAAGATAGATTGGAATATAAACATGGAAATATCACATACTATATTTATCCTTACTAGAAAAGGTTTATTTTGATCTCCGCCTATGGATTGATCAGTTAATTTGACATTAGAGTTCTTTGCTTGACGTTAATGACAATTGTAAGTAACTGGTCTGTCTGACTGTCTGTGAAAATAATCTGATTCTGTTCGGTAGATCAGTTGTAGGACATTTCCATTTCTTTGTACAGAAATGTCAAATTGTTAAAGAAAAATCATAAAAATATAACTTCCCCGCTGCTTACATCACTGTAAGTCACGAATAACTATGTAAATGAGTAAATTGCTTAGATGCGATACCAAAGATCAACATATCTGAAAATAAGTGGCGCAGGTTGTGCATGGTGATATGTTTAGATTGTACATTATTTTCCACAATTAATACAAATTATATATCGAAATTCACGCCCACGATTTTGACGTTTATCTATTATAAATGAAAAAGTCGAGAAAAAACCTCGTTCTAGGATTTAACATCGTTTCTTAGGTAAGAATTCCCACGTATCTGTTTATAGCAACTTTCCCATTATTTGACTATTGTTAAGAAAAATCATACACACACAAATTTACTAAACTGCAATTATACATTCTCTAAGTTTATGACTTTCTTAATGTTTATGTTGTATTATATCTCGTTTAAATTTATTCTAAATATAAATTGCTATAGAATTAATGGAATTTCAACTACTAGAAGGTAAAGTTGTATTTTTGTTTATTTATCTTTAAGAACAAGCACTGCTTATGTTAATTAATATGATTTATACAAGAATGTAGTGAGTAACTCAAGCATTTCTATTCAAGCACCTATCTATCTATTTAATAATAGATTACCAAGAATTATACCACAAATTCAATTATGATTACTTCATTGTGAAAAATTAATTGAAGAGATGCATTAAGAACAGTGATCAAATATTTTTAATTGGGATGCAAAATGATTCATGGCTTTAGTGTACTTATAACAAGGCATCTTAGTATCACTTGTTCTCATCTTTAGAAAATGTAAGTTTTGTCTGCTAAAATAGAAGACTTTTTCATTTAACCATATAAAAAACAAAGTAGTAAAATATTTATGGCTAAACACAGGAAAATTTTGTCAAATAGTTAAGTAAAGATATCCTTAATTGTTGTTTTAGTGCATTGATTTTATTATCTATTTTAATTCTTCTTAAAATCACTTAGAAATATATTAAATCAATGTTTTTCACAAGTATTGTTTTTTTAAATTTAGGGACCATTCAGTGTTAATTGCTGGTTATATCTTTTAGTATTTCATGTGATTTGTATTCATGTGCATATCTTTAAAATCCGTATTATTTCAAACCTAAATTATTTGGCTATCTTTTCATATGTGATAGTTTATTTTCTGGATTTTGCTTAAATGTGTTGCTTTTAACAGTGGCTTTTCTTTGCCTAGAAGAAAATATGTATGTTAAAATATATTAAACTATGAGCATACCTTTAGGTTGTTGTGACCTGCAATTCAACCTTATATTAACTATAATCCAGATTTGTTTCCACTTGTGACAGCATTTCTTTCACAGATTTAATCCCGTTTCATGCTTCCATTCAGTTGTCTTAGAGTCTTTCTTTTACCTTTTTTGCAAACTTTTACTAATAATCTCTCATTCCTAACAGAAACTAGTTTTGGATGACCCTGCCTTTTACCTTTTTTTTAATTCTTCATGTTTCCTCATAATACTTAATTATTTTCCACACTCTAGTTTTAGAAATATTTATTTCTGTGTCAATTTAACAATTGTTACACAGAAATACTTTTTAATTACCAATGCATGTATTTTTGAATGCAGGGAGATACCAGGCACCATTTTATCGAAATATTACAGCTTAGAATTAACAGCTTATTAATTTTAGAGTATAATTTGACATTTGTTACAGTGTCTAGCTGTATTGTTTCTGCAAACTAATTGTGTTATCTCATGTGGTTTTTAGCAGTTACTTTTTACTGTCCCATTATTTAGTTGTCACTAATTTTTACATATTTAATGATCTTTATGACATTAATATATGTAGGTTGTATATACTATCTGAAGCAAAAATTCAACATATTTTGACTACCTATCACAATTCAAAATTTTGTACATCCTCATTCAGGTTATGTTTTCATTTTTACAAAAGAACATGTGTCTCTGTAGCTGGATAATTGTTTATATATCAATTTCATAAGTGCTCAATGTCATTTAGGTTGAGACTGAGCAATGTTTACTTCATAACTTCAATTTTACATTCATATAGAAATTTTGGGCTAATTTAATAATGTAGATTTTCTTTATCATGCCTTAAGAAATAATCATTGTTAATGTTAATATCATGTATGCTATATGACTGCAAAGTTTGTTAGATTGTTTAAAATGATTCTGGTCCAAATGATAATAGATAAATCACTGTGTTCTTTACCTGGATACACACAAAGACCAATATCAGCTGCTCAGTGGATTCTCGGCATCATAAACAGCATTTTCATTTCTAAAAATGATAACCAGCTGTTCACTGTGCATTAGAGGGCATGTGAAGCCCCCGATAGTAATGCCTACTAGTCCACTGGGTTAGTTTACATTAACACTAGTTATCTGAAACAGGTCTAAATATGTAATTGGCACCAGAACCTGTCTGAAAGGATCTTTTGGAGAAAAATACCATACGATATTATTATTATTATTATAGCTCTCCAATGTCAAAATTGCTAATTAGGTCTTCTAAGTTTTAAATTAGACTATGTTAATGATTTCCGTACCATGTCAAACCTACACAAGGAGAATCCTGAGAGGACTGAGTCTCAATAGATTACAGTATGTAAATTGTTTACCAGGTGCAACACCCTGCCTGGTATGCAAGTTGTCTTCAGAGAATTCCGACTTACAACACAGAAAAGATGATGATACTCATGTTAATTCATCTAAAGATCAGGGCTACTGGCAAGGATTGATCCCACCTGTAATGGTAATTATTTTTTACTTGAAAATAATAGAGTTGGCTGATACCTTGCGATAATTTTTTGTGTTGTCCTTAAATACTTTTTATTTATTGATTAATAATAAAAATACCAAGTCTAGGTCTATCTGTTATGGTATTCATTGGTGTATTATATTTCCCCATAACATTTTTATCCAATTATCTAATAATAAATATCAGTTCATATAAATAAACTGATGTAACTAATTTTAAAAACCACTGTTTTATATGGATGATTCACTCTTATCAGTAAATATTTATAAGGCGTGTGGGCCAAAACTTAAGCAATGTTATTCAATCACGTGAAATGTTGAAATTCACGTTCAAAAATGTGAAAAATGCTTGAAACTGTTTCTAGTATAGTAAGGGGGAACTAAAATGACATAAAATAGAACTAACCCCCATCAACCCCCTAATCCCCTACTTGTGATACACAATTGAAAAGACTATAAAAAATGCTATCCAATAGTATAAATAATAATTATATAGGTTGAAACAATAAGAAGTTGATAATAGTTG